TATAATATAAAACTAATATAATATCAATAAAATAATATAAAATAATGTTTAAAAATATCTATAATATTACAATATACTTAATCTTATTACACCTCAATTTGATAATCTTAAAAATATATAAACAATTTACATTTTATCTTCTAACTGGCATATAGGCAAAATAACAAATAAATCTAACTTATTATTACTTTTTCAAAACTACCAAATTATTAATTTTAAAACTACCAAATTATCAATTTAATATCCAATACAATTTGCATTTCTTCTACATCTATAATACTTCAAATAAATTACAAATATACTATTAACTTAAAATATAAACACAAAAAAATAACAATATTTTAAGCTTAATATTAACAATCAAGAAATTTAAGCATTTCAAAATATTCACTCAGAGCTATATAAACCAGTTTCACAATCTTTACTCTGTCTTTCACTATTTTTTTTAGAAATTCTTCTAATACAAAACACAATACTCAATCTTATTTATCAAAACCAACTTATTGACCTTTACAAAAAAATTCTATTTCTAGAACTAACTAATCTAAACTTTTATATAGACACCTTTATACTTAATTCACAAACAAATAACATCTTTATAAGCATTGCTTAGATTCTTAAAAAGGAAATACAGATCAAATTTAATACTTCTATAATCTATATATTAAACTCGATATAAGCTAAATTAGTAGCACTTATCTCTTTATTTTTTATTCTACTTGCTAATTATCAAATTTATATTTATTTTGACAGCTTATCTATTATTCAAATGCTTACAAACTTATTAACCTACTACTACAATTCACAACTAGACAAAATAATTAGAATATTATACATATATTAAACTATTTAATCAAACTTAAAAACATTAATTACATTATATACAAAGTCAAATTATATTCAAAAAATATTTTATATAATATAACTAATTTTTAACTAAACAAAATATCAACAAAACTAAACTAAAATTCAATTTTGACTACTTCTATCTATCTAATTTCTTTTCTTAGAAAGAAATTTCAATTATATACAAACTACATAAATTTTACAAGAACCTAATCTCAATTCAAACATTTAACAAACTCCTTCAACTCAAACTATTACAAAACCTTCTAATTATAAACATTCTATTATTATCTAAAATTATCAACTCTCAAAACTCCAATCTTAAACTATATTTTATTAAAAACTAAATACTTTTCAATAATTTACCAATAATGTTAAATCTAAATATCCATTATTATCTTCTTTATTTAACTCCAAATTGCTTATATTGTAATCAATACAAAAATATCAAATACTTATTTTAATGCTTACTTTATTTCTACAATTTACAAAACACTTTTACTAATAAAATCTCAAATGTTTTAAATTTTTTAAATATAACAAAAATCTTATCCAATTCAATAATACAAATTTTTATTATACAAAACATTTCTCTTAATCTTAATATATATAACACAATACTTTTACTTATTCAAAGTACAATAACTCTTAATTAATACAATTAACTTCAATCTATTCTAAAAAAACTAACTAACAATTTCCTTATCTCCTTATCTAACTCATTACTTACCTGATTCAACTCTACTATCTGGCAAACTTGTAATACTAAACAACATGAATAAGAATCATTATAAGGAATTACAACTTTTACTAAAAGGAAAAACAATATTAGATTACTTATTTCCTAATTTTCAAACTTAAACAATACTACTTTTACTTTTAATACTGATATAGATCTTTTTATTTTAAAATACTCTCTTAAGACTTCACTATACATACTTGCTTTTATCAATTAAAATAATTTTAAAAATCTTTTTTACTCTTTCTGTAGTTAAGTTCATATTAATTAACTCAACTAATAACAGAAAACTAAAAAATAATATCACACTAGATGTTGTAGTATATAACAACAATAGTGTAACTTAAAAATAATATTTTAGTTATACATCTATATTTAATTGATATATTCATACATTCTTATTTTTTTGCTTGATATTATATAAATAAATAAAAAATAAAAAAAGATTCTAATTTTAAAAATGATTTAAAACAAATTAGTATAATTTTTAAATACAAAAACAAAACAACAATTTATGAATATAATAACAAAAACAGTCTGAAACATTTTTATAAACAAGTTTAAAGAATATTATACAAAAAAGTTAATATATAAAAAAAAAAAAAAAATAATAGATAAAATGAAAAAAAAATATAGAAGAAGAAAAATAATCCAAGTAAAAAGAAGAAAACTAGTTAGTAAGAGATAAAAAAAACAAAAAAAAGAAAATCATTGAAAATAAAATTAGAAAGACAATTTAAATGCTTGTTATAAAAGAATAAAAACTCTTTTATTATAGACTTTAAGTAATTAGACAAGTAGCTTACTTTTGCTTAAAATAATAGAACAAATTGCACTTAGGTGCCATTAGAATGACCAGATGATACTAGGTTTAATTGTTAGATATATTTATATAATTGCAAAAATAATTTCAAAAAACTTAATAAAGCACTAGCATGACTGCTTAAGGAAAAAAAAATATATATATATACTAAGATAATAATAATAATATTAACAAATTATATAAAAGTAAGTTAATAGAAAATAACCAATCACCTTAATACCAAAAAATAAAAAATAAAAAACCCCAAATTTTTTATTTGATCAAATTGAATAAATTTTTTTTACTAAAAATGATTTGCCCTCATATGTACTTGCTAATCTCTTAATTGAACACTATTGCTATATATTTTCGACATCGACATTACTAAAATTAGGTTACACTGTAACGATACTTATCAATAGCTTATTAAATATTTATATTTAACATACCCGATACCAGACATGTTGAGACGTCATTTATTGGGTCAAACAAATTTCACTCAGTTTGTAGTACTTTTAGGCGGAGTTACAGGCCTGATTGAAAAAAAATTCGTAAAGCAGGATCACCATTTGTTCTCAGTTTCTCTCTTTTACGAATTCTTCTATATAAAGAAGCATTCAAAAAAAAAAAAAAGAAAAAAAGAGTAAATAAATAATAATAATAATAAAAAAACAGGGAGCTATTGTTATAAATATAACAGTTGTAATAGCGAAGAAAAGCTTTAGGTTCTTTTTAACGACAATGTCGAATCCACAAACGTTAGTATGATTTAACCGGTGGCTTAATTCATTTTAACACCTAGCAATCAATTATGTTTTTGTTTTGTTTGCCATTATTTTTATTTCAAACAACAATAACTTATTTCTGTTCTTTATAAAGAAAAACTATACGCTTAACAGGTCTGCAAATTTTTTATCTAATTTAATTATACTTTACAAGATGAATGACATACTATTGTTCCATTTCCTCTGTACCTTCTAGTCATCGCTGCAGATGGCCTATATAAAAGAGACGTATTTCGTACGTAATTTCATTTATGAATTTTCATGGGAGCGTTAGTATAGAGTGATCTAAATTGCCATTTTATATTTCGTCTTCGTAGGACTTCCTGATCCCTTTGCGGTTGTAACTGTAGACGGTGAACAGACACATACTACAACCGTGGCTAAGAAAACTTTGAATCCGTATTGGAATGAGAGTTTTGACATGTATGTGTTCTATTATTGTTCTATTATTGTTCTTTAATTGACTATAGCAATTATACGTAATATTCATAAATGCTGGTTCTCAATATTGTAGACAAGTAACAAATCAAAGCGTAATTGCAGTTCAAATATTTGACCAAAAAAAGTTTAAAAGGAAGGACCAAGGATTTTTAGGCGTAATCAACGTTCAAGTAGGAGATGTATTTGACCTTGACGTTAACACTGATAGCGATGGTAAGCAATATCACCTTATCACATTACATACTGTTAAGAAATCTTTTTAATAGCATAAATTCATATAATACTATGGTCTAACAAGTTAAGCTAATATAACTTTAATTTTATAAACTCATTTACACAGAGATGTTGACAAGAGATTTGAAAAAATCAAATGCAAATGAAGTAGTACACGGTAAACTCATTATCAGCTTATCAACAAATGTAAATACATCGCCTCCACATCCTGCTGTAAGAGACAATTTGAATTCCATGTCAAATCATACGCGTTCGGATTCTATTGCATCATCATCCAACTCAAATTCAAATCAGAGAGCTAGTTTTGTCGAAACTTCACGGCCTATGAGTTTGTCTAATTCGACACCGTCAGCAGCCAACGGGAATGCAGTACCAGGACCAAGCACAACTTCTGGAGGTAATTCAGCAAGAGCATTTAGTCACATGGAAGACCACGCACCATTACCTCCAGGGTAAAAAAAAATTTCTCTTTATACATATAAAGTTATGTAAATACAAACGAATACTTTTATATGTAAATAATATTATAATTCATATATTTGTAGATGGGAACGTCGTGTAGATCATCTTGGACGTACATATTATGTCGACCATAATACACGAACTACCACATGGTCAAGACCATCGATGAATGCAACCGCAACTCAGCGGCTGCAAGAACATCAAAATATAACGGAAATGGAACGCCGTAGACATAATAACCGCACACTCCCTGAAGAACGTCCAACAGGTTCCTCATCTATGCCCAGCAATGCATCATCAACATCTATTTCAGGATCTGGTGCTGAAGCATCTACAAGTACTGCTAACATGACGTTAGCTCCTGTGGGGCATGTTGGAACAACAACAGCCGGCTTCGGACCATTGCCTTCTGGTTGGGGTATGTAGCAGATATTATTGTACACGATTAATTCATAGTTTTTTTTTCTTTTGTCATGTTTCTATTTAACACACATTTGATTTTTATATTTAATTAAGAACAAAGAACTACACCGGAAGGTAGACCATATTTTGTGGATCATAACACAAGAACAACTACTTGGGTAGATCCTCGTAGACAACAATATATTAGGATGTATGGTGGAAATGCAAACAATGTTACCATTCAGCAGCAACCCGTATCTCAACTAGGACCACTGCCATCTGGCTGGGAAATGCGTTTGACAAGTACAGCCAGAGTATATTTTGTAGATCACAATACAAAAACTACTACATGGGACGATCCTCGATTACCTAGCAGCTTAGAGTACGTAATGTTTCATATGCTCCATTAATACTATCAGATCTTAATTATTTAAATATTTATATTTTATGTGTGACTTATTTTTTTGATTTAGTCAAAATGTGCCTCAATATAAACGAGATTTTCGTAGAAAGCTTATTTACTTCAGGTCTCAACCTGCTCTTCGACCCGTACCTGGTCAATGTCACATTAAAGTCCGACGCGAATTTATTTTTGAAGATGCTTATTCAGAAATCATGCGACAACAACCACAAGATCTTAAAAAACGATTGATGATTAAATTTGAAGGTGAAGACGGATTGGATTACGGTGGTTTATCTAGGTAATTATTAAAAATATTCAAATATGATTTTGATTAATCGGAATTTGATAGAACCCTCAAATGTTCTCGTAAACATAGCACGTGTTAAATGGTTTTATTTTACAAATTTTTTAGAGAATTTTTCTTTTTGCTTTCTCATAAAATGTTCGATCCATTCTATTGCCTTTTTGAATATTCGGCTCATGATAACTATACCCTCCAAATTAATCCTCACTCGGGTATCGATCCTCAACATCTTAATTATTTTAAATTTATTGGACGAGTGGTCGGGCTTGCTATTTTCCATCGTCGATTTTTAGATGCATTTTTCATTACATCATTTTATAAAATGATTCTAAAGAAAAAAGTTGGATTACCTGATATGGAGAGTGTAGATGCCGATTTCTATAGGAGTTTAACATGGGCTTTGTATGTAAATTGGGTTTATAAAAAATATACTTAACTGTTTTAGTACTAACCCGTTTTTCTGTTTTACAAAGAGAGAGTAATATTACTGATGTCTTGGATCTAACATTTTCCACCGAGGACGAACGCTTTGGCGAAGTTGTGACGGTTGATTTGAAACCAGATGGTCGCAATATTCCAGTAACGGAAGAAAATAAGAAAGAATATATAGAGTATATATGGAGTTCTAGTTTTCTTTAATTATATATCCCTCTTATTCTAAATTCGGAATTAAATTTCTTTCAGGCTCATTACTGAATGGCGTATTTCTAAACGTGTTGAGGATCAATTTAAAGCATTTATGGAAGGATTTAATCAACTTATACCACAAGAGTTGATTTCAGTGTTTGACGAGCGTGAATTAGAGGTTAGAGTCAAAATTTTATTATTACTACTTTGTTTGTAGAACGGTTTGCCAATAGGTTTGTTCGATATGTGTCTTGTGCTAGTTAGCAATAAAATCACTGCGCGGCAAAAAATCGGTCATGGGAACACCTTGATTGAAACACATTATCCATTATTATTCCAGTTACTTATTGGAGGTATCGCTGAAATTGATGTTGACGATTGGAAGAAACATACCGATTACCGAGGATATACAGAATCAGATGACATTATACAGTGGTTCTGGAAGGTTTGTATTACATACGTTGTTTCTTCATTTTCCAGATTTAGGCTTTGTTACAAATCGTTTATTTATTAGTGCGTACGGTCATGGGACGGCGAAAAGAAATCGCGTCTATTGCAATTCACTACCGGAACATCTCGCATTCCCGTTAACGGGTTCAAAGACTTACAGGGAAGTGATGGACCTCGTAGATTCACAATTGAAAAAGCGGTAGATATCACTCAGTTGCCGAAGAGTCATACCTGGTATGTATATCTTTCGTTTGTTATTGCGAGATTTTTAAATTAACAAATTTAACTTTATATTTATATTATAATAGCTTTAACCGTATTGATTTGCCACAATATAAGACCTATGAAGTGTAAGTCTTATTCATTTATTTTTTCATTGACTGATGAATTATATTTAATATTATTCCTTGAATTAACAAAACAGATTGGTATCTAAATTAACATTAGCCGTCGAAGAAACTGTGGGATTTGGACAAGAATAAGACTATTTATAAATTCGGTTGATTTTATCAGGATCGTGTTGCATATACAACGCCCTACCAAAAATCGTGGTGATTTCATGATAGCAAATAAATTATTATTATTATTTTTTTAAAGATTTAATATGGGCTATTCTTAAATTGTTTTAATTTATGATGTCAAAAATAAATATAACGAGGTTATGTTTAATAGAAAACTTCATTTATACATTATATTGGCGATATTAACCATATACGGTATATATATAATATTTTTGGTATATTTGCCAATGTATAAGATTCAGCAAATTAATCATGTTTTTAATATATAAATAAAATTTCTTGAATTTCTATACTTCATATTTAAAAGATTAAAAATATTTGAGTAAAAACATGAGATAGGTTTTGAAGCTTACTAAATTATTTTTGATACGTAGCAATCGAGAGATCATGGACTTTATAAATCTGAATTTTAATTACGATAAATGTAGTGCTTGTAGTCGATTTTGCATTAGCCGATTTTTTGAAAAATCGGTAATCAAATTTAGGCCGATTTTGTACCGTATTTTACGGTCCAAACCACCTTCCTGTTGGACTATCTCTGTCGGATTTTTACACTATCATATGCACTATTTAAATATAGCATGACCATAATTATTTTATGGCAGGTGGACCGTAAAATACGGTAGGTTACATCTCCTGAAAAATTCCGAAAAGAAATTAAACGCGGATAATTTCCGAAAGTCAATCGACTTAGCCGATTTTTAAATATCGACTTAGTCAAGTTGATAAATGATGAAATGAAAATACCCATAGCTAGGTTTCAGGACATGGAAAAAAATTGGGCATGCTCCTGAGCTTAGGCATGCCTTCATTTCCTTTTTAAATTGTGATTAACATGTAGTTTATTTAAGAGTAGAGTGTACTATTTTAAAATTATATATAAATTTAATGGTAATTTTTTTTTATATTTAAATTTATAAACAATTATAAACTAATTTGAATTATTAAATAAAAGTTGTAGAGTAGGTCTTTCTGATTCTAATGATAATAAAATTATTATTTTTTTAAAATATTAATAGTGAGATCATGTCTTTAACTTTATTGAAATTCAATTGAAGTTTTTACAAAAAAAAGCTTGTTTTTAAATTACATATAAAGAATAAAGACTCAGACATATAATTTGTAACCTAAACTTACAAGAGTGACCAAGGTTCACTTAGATTTGAGCATTAATAATAATATAAGAGAGAAAGGTATAATATTTAATTTATTGGATAGTTCAAAGATCAATTTTGATAATAATTTGTTGAATTGAAATAGAAGATAAGAATAAACTAAAAAGAGAACTATGAGTTAAATTTATAATAAGTGTAGTTTGAAACTATATAGAATGTGAAATACAATATGGAATCTATATTTGTTTATATATTTGTTAGTTTAAATGAAGAAGAAATTTAATAGAAAGAGAAGTAGCTATATGATAAGGAATAGAAGTATTATGAATAGTAAAAATAAGATCAATAAGAACTAGACCAGATAGGATAAAAATAAAAGATGACATATGTAAAGAGTTGTGCAATTTAAAACTATTTAGTGTAAGAATTTCTTGATATAAATTAGAAACAAGATTGGTAGACATCAAAAGCAGTAATATTTAAAATACAATTAAAAAAATCAAAGATTAAATAATAAATTGTTTGAGTAGAAGAACAAAAAGTTCAGTGTAATAAAGAATTAGTTTGATTACATTGATGATAAAAAGAAGAGTAAGAAGAGTTACATTTATAAAGAATATAAGAAATAGGTAATTTGTCTAAAAGAATTTTAATATAAAAGGTTTTTAAAATAGAGGAATAAAAAAGCTATGAGCAAAGTTAGAAATCTTTTGATTATTATTGATATAAAGTCAAGTGGTTTTCTAGTTGATATTAAAAGCAATAGTAGACCATTGTTGAAAACAATCTTAAGATATTTAAAGTATTATGATATGAGCTTGACAGATAATACAGATAGAATGACAAATAGAAATTTTAATAAAAAATTGGTCAATAAAAAGATATAAGCAGAATTGTAAGAGTTGTTAGTTAAAAATATTAAAAAAAATAGTATTTGATGACTATGAGCAAGTTGGTCAACAAGATTATTAAATGAGCCATCTTGGTATACAATAACTTTGTGAAAAGTAAACTGAATGTTATATAAGTTAATGAAGTTGATAAAATAATAAAATTATTAAAATTGAGAGAATGGTGATCCTAGTGTAGTGGTTGAGTTGTCATCCTTCAAGTAGCAGATCTAAGGTTCAAATCCTATTTATGATAAACTTTAGAAATTATATCTATAATATAATAACTGTCTTCTGTCAATTGGTTGGCCTTATGCAGCTGTAATTCAGGTACAATAAGTTGGATTCTATCGACATTGGAAGCTTGGAGCATCTATATGAAGTGTAACATTACATGTACATAGAGGAATGTATAATTTGTATTATATAAAACTTTAGTGCAAACTCATGTTAAGATCACTAAGCATAAAAAACTAAGAAACTAAGATAACAGAAACCTACTTAAAAATTTCTGAATAAAGAGGTAGCATGAACTTTTGATATACTATTGAACTGGTTAAAGCCTATGAAACACCTTCATAAAAACTAAATGTTAAATCAGATATTAAATATATGTAGAAAAGCATATAACCAATCAGGCTGCCAGATTCACTAGAGAAAAAAGATACAAAAATATATTACATTGGACTATCTGGATTGGTAGTCTAAAAAAAACTTCTAGTTCTGAGTTGTGGCTAGTAGAGAATGATAGAGAAGATGCCAAAAAGATAGATACTAAGGTTTTAGTAAACTTTACAAGGGTAGAAATAGTGTAACATAATGGTTAGACAGGCAACCCCTATGACTACAAGTGTTAGATAAAATTATAGTATGTTACATAAAACTAGATCTGTATGTGTAGGACATAAAGGCTTTTGTAAGTCTTCTATTAAGGATAAAGTAGTCCTAAAAGTAATGACTAGCATCGAGAACTTGGATGGGTGTAGCCTTGAAATATTCTTGTAATACAAGAAGGATTGCATATACAGAGAGTTTAAATAGGCAAGACCTCTAGTTGGCTTCCAGGTATAGCAACTAGTATAGAACTTATATAGTAATGTATAAATGAACTACTTAAATTAGATACCAAAAGTGCATATGTGGCTAGTTGTAACCTCCATTGTAAGATAAGCTCTTGGTAGCATGCTGTATTCTATATACTTGAATAAAAATGTTATATCTCTAAGACAGAGACTTTAAATATAAAAAAAAAAAAAAAAAATTATTATAATTAGTTAAAAATTCATTAAAATATAATTATTTATTTATTTTTTTTTTTTTGAAAATTAAACTAGTCTCTTTTAGAACTAGAGCTTTATTTTTTAAATTAGGATATAGAAACTTGTAGCCAAAGCCTCAAAGAAGTCATCTTATATTAGAGAATACAACTAGTTACATATATACTTTTGGTGTCTAATTTAAGTAGTCTGCCAATAGTTTTATATTAGCTATTATATCTGCAACTTAACTAGAAGCATTGCCCATTTAAACTTTCTATATTGTAATCTCTACTATGTTACTAGATTATCTCTAATATATACATCAGTCAAGAAGGTCTAGATACTTTTATTTATATCTTTAGAACTTCATATCTTATTTTATGCAGTATATTCTCAGAAGTATTGTAACTAGAGTTTCTATGTCCCACACATAGCTAATCTAGTTTTATGTAATATGATATAGTTACCTAACACTTACAATCACAGTAATTACCTGTTTAATTGCTAATTATATTATTTTTACTCTTGTAAAGTTTACCCAAATCTCAGTATCAATTTTTCAAACTTTTTCTCTTCATTTCTTTACTATTTAACTCAGAATCTGACAGACTTCTCTGACTTCTAATTCAGATAACCTAGTGTAGTATATCTTAGTATTCTTTTCCTTTGATGATTCCAGTAGCCTAGTTGGTCATATGCTCCTCTATACATCTTTTTATTCAGTTATATTTGTCTATTTCTTATTAAGATTTTCTGGGCTTCTATTAGTTAATAGCATAGTCAAAGATTTGTGTTACCTTTTTACTTAAAAATTTTTAAGTAAACTTTTATCTTCTTAGTTTCTTGGTCTTCTACATCCAGTAGTCTTATTGTAAGTTTGCATAAAAGTCTTATGCAATACTGATTATTAATATTTCTCTATGTACATATAACATTACACTTCACATAGATGCTCTGGACTTCTAATAACAAGTAGAACCTAATTAGTTGTATTCAAAATTACAGATATCTAAATCCAACCAATTGATAAGAGACAATTTTTCATAATACAGATTAATTTCCAAATTTTATTGTAAATGGAATTTGAATTTTAGATCTGCTACTTGAAAAATAACAATCTAACCACTATAGTCACAGATATTTTCAAATTTTATTTCATGTAATATATATATTCTAGAATTTAGAAGATTATTTATAATCTAAAAAAAATAAATCTGATTAGTTATCTTTATAAATCTAAATTTTTTTAAAAAAATTTTTAATTTTTTTTGATATAAAATGATAATTTTAAAATCTATAAATATAAATATATATTAGTATTTAAAGATATAAAAATTTAGAATTTACTAAAGTTATACTTGAATCTACTTACTTGTATAAGTTATACTTATTTAAAAAATAAATAATTAGAGGTGTGGCGACCTAGTGAAGTGGTCAGGTTGTCAACCCCCAAGTGGCAGGTCTAGAGTTCAAATCTCATGGATGATGAATTTTGGAAAATAAGATCTGTATTACGGTAACTGTCTCTGTCGATCGGTTAAATTTGTGTATCTGTAACCTTTGTTGCACCATCTCGAATGGGAGCTCGGGGCATCTATGCAAAGTGTAACATTACACTCACATAGAGGAATGTTAATAACCGGTGTTGCATAAGACTCCGGTGCAAACCTACGATAAGACCACCAGGCATAGAAAGC